TCTTTTATCACAGCAATCCTCTGGAAATTAATTTCCCTTAGGTACTGCTACTGCACTAAAAAAGCTGTTCCAGTTCTTCTTCAATATTTGTCAAGGTGAAGTCCTTGTAACATTTGTTTACGCAGATGAGGCTAATACTATTCACTTGAAGTGCAACATTGCCATCAGCAGCAGTCCGTGTTCTGTGTTGGACCATCAAGTGCCAGTGTTTATATGCAACAAGGATGCCTTGTCATCTTCAGCGTGGGATATCACCACACAACAAGTCAGTAACTTTGATGTTCTTTCAAGAATGCAGGGATCCATATTGGCAGTCATCCAGTCGTCCGTGATGGCTAGAAAATTGTTGGGACGACCAAAACAATATGGAAACTCGTCCGCTGGACGAGTTTAGTTTAACTCTACCAAAAAAAAAGTTCTCAAATTTTCTTATGAGTTTCCTGCATTCTGACTACTTGTTATCCATTTGGAACTAGTAGAAAACAGGGAAAGATTTGCGGCTTCTTTTTTTGTGATAAAATCATCATTTTGGTCCACCATCATGGAGGACGCGATGAATGAAATCATTGCAGACTCATTGCATGGCATATGAATGGGCAAGTAAAATTTGCCAGGGCAAGTACTGTATGTCATCTGGCATACTTGCCCGGTTGACGACTTGGAGAAAAAACCAATATGGATCCCTGAGAATTACATACATGTACAGCTGTAACTGCCACCTCCAACACCTTTGGTGAGAATCTCCTCCTTGTGGGTGAAAAAGTTGAATCGCATACCTACTCATTTGTCTAAAGAAAACCAGACAAAAATTGTGGTTGAATTAGTTTGGCTTAGTGATCATACAATGAAAAACTGTAGCACACTGTAGGCCTATATGTTTTTCAGTTCCATTAGACTAGGGCTGCATCCCTTTGAGATATTCCTGGTTAGGATCAATGATCTGGGATCACTCAGCTCACAGAGTATCAAAGGAACCATTGTATCCATCCCTTGTTCCTGTGATGTTATGTGATTCAACTGACCATGGATCATTGATCCTGATCCAGGTCATACGTAAGGAACACACCCTAAATTTCTAAATGGCAGTTTTCAAAATGTAGTTCTATAATTTTCTAACATGTCATAGTGTAATTTTATCTAATGTTTGTAGATTTTGCGATATATTGATGGCTTCAACCATGTTCAGAGGATTGCTGCTGAGGCAGATGTGGAAATCAGTCTTGTTAGGAGGTGTATGCAGGACATGATGTAAGTTCTACATTTTTACTTGCTTTCAAAGCATTTATTTGTTAAGTGACTACACTCTTGTCAGATTTTAAACAATTTATTGGTTGAGGATTTTTGGATATCTGGAATAATCAAGGTCGAGGTAAGTGTTATCAGCCAAAGCTGAAGGCTGAGGCTGATAACACTAACCGAGACCTTGATTATTTCAGATACCACAAAAACCGAATCTAATAATTGTTTTATTATACATTGTTTTAAAAAAAAATAACAACAAATGCATTATCGCACCGAGCACAGTTTATTTTCGACAAGCCATGTTCTTACTTCTCTGTCCGTAAACTTGACATTGCTCTTGGAAATCATGCATTGCACGTCTAACCTACAGATTATTCACTAATCTGTTAGCAGATTAGTGAACTGTAGGTTGCGCTGTTTCCCAGAATTAATCGTAGGCTTTTAGCCAATGAGAAGACAGACAGTGACTAAAAAGTAATAATAATTGTCAGTAGATAATTCACCAGAGGAAGCAGGGTTGGTGCTGTGGTGAGAGGGCTTGCCTCCCACCAATGTGGACTGTGGCCTGGGTTTGATTCTGGCCCAGTGCCATATGTACATGTAGGTTGAGTTTGCTGTTGGTTCTCGCTTTGCTCTGAGGGTTTTTCTCTGAGTTCTATGGTTTTCCTCTCTACTCAAAAACCAACTCTCCAAAGGATGTAGCTTCCTCTCTAAATATTGTAATCTATTTTTAATACTTACCGCTATTTATTTCAGAAGGGTACAATGATAATCAGTTTTCCAGCTTGGCCTTCAGGAAACCTGTAACTATTTCAATGTACTAGCTTGACAGTAATTTTCACTTGGACCTCTCTTCAAAACAATAATTTGCACAAAAAAGCTTGTGGGATTCTATACTAGTTAGTGGATTATATGCTTCACTTGTCTAAAATTCTAAAATCCAGTAGCCCCACTGTAAAACCCATTAGTCTAATGGCTGGTAGGGCATGGGTTTCTTTGCTTGCCTGTCATTCTACTATGGTCATTTAGTGTTGTGAGGACAACTTGCACCCTGCTCAAGCTATGCTCACTGTCTAACTACTTACATGCAACTTCAGTTACTGAAACGTAAAGCAATTGTATTCATTCTTGCACCCCCTCTTGCCCCCCCCCCCTTTGAATGGAATGGTACTTTATCATAGGGTTGCCCCCTCCTACCTGCCATCAACATTCTGTTATATACTGCTGAGCAGTTGGTCAGTACAATATACTCGTTATACACCTGAATAGGTGACTTCCATGATGGCGTCATTTGACTACAACCACCAGAATCCTTCACTTTTCTGTTTCTTATGTTTATTAGCACAATTGTTATTTAAACCCCAGTGGGACTTCAAAATTTAAATGTGGCTAAATATCATTTAGGCAAGGTTAAACTCGAGCTAATGCAGCCAGCTAGCATACCCATCTGGCCAGCTAATATCATTTAGGCAAGTTAAATATGAGCTTATGCAGCCAGCGGTTTCCCCGTATGGGAATACGTGACCTGTGGGGCGGCCTTCAGGGGTTTTGCAGGGGTTTATGGTTCATTGCATAATTGTTGTAGTGTATTCAGCTGATTGTTGCGGATCAGTTGCACTGCTTTGCTCGCGAATCATTGCAGATTCTTGCGTGAAACATTTCAATTTTGGTAGCTGTAGTCAAATGATGTTATTGTGCAAATCTGCTATGAGAGAATCACTGAGACGGTGCTGAGAGCCTGGTCTCCCAAAACATAACAAAATGATTATTTGGCAAAATTTCCAAGCATGATGATCACGATGATATTAACATGTAGTGATGTTTCTTATTCAAAATAAATACACTTTTCTTTCCACAGTCAATACAAAATAGTGAAACTTATTCCTATTTTCCAGGCAAGTAATCTGAGTAAGACTTAGTTAAGTTTAATTTTCTTAATTTTTTACTTAATTTTTAACAAACCCTGATGTCCTGTTTGGTGTTATTTTGGATTAGATTGACTATGATATGGCAAATGTCTTAAGAATGCTTTGCTTAAGGTTGTACCTGATTTAGAGCGGTTTTCACTTGAGTGTCAAAAGGTAATTGGTTTTGCATCAACTACCACTTGTCACTTTTTATCACATGTAATTCCTTCAGGTTTTGATTGGTTCACTAGAGTGATTACTTTGGTTTTGGTTTTACACACTCAATTGAAAACCACTGTAGAAAGCGTGTCTTTCATTGGTAGAAGTTTTGCTTCTTTTTGTGGTTCTTGGAAAGGTAGGTGCAAGATCAGAAAATGCCAACCCCTGGGTTAAGCCGTGGACGATGCATTACAGGCGTTATTCAGGGGGAACTTGGCATTCATTTCTCACTGATATCATGTTTTTTGCTCTAAACTCCTCCAGTGTTGAACTCCAGTTTAATAAACACTCAATCTCATTATCTTCTATTACGGGAGGTGGAGTGACCTCACCTCCAGGTGGAGCGGTCCGGGTTTGAGCACTGCCTGAGGACATAGTGTTGTGTTCTTGGGCAAGACACGTTACTCTCAGAGTGCCTCTCTCCATCCAGGTGTAAAAATGGGTACCAGCGAATTTAATGCCAGGGGTAACCCTGTGATGGACTAGCGTCCCATCTAGGGGGAGTAGAAATACTCCTAGTCGCTTTATGCTACAGAAACCGGAATAAGCTCCGGCCTGATGGGCCACTTGGCTCGTATGTAGATTTTATCTTACCTAACCATGATCTTCTGTTCCTACAGTACTCCAATGTATATATTCCTACACCCGAAGTTAATCAGTTGACGCACGACAAGAAACTACAAGAGGAATGTCTTAACTTTGTTGGGAAAAAAGGTTGGTTGGAACATTCTTCGCCCAAAACGTAAAGCCTTTAACTACAGGAGATCTAATTGTGCTATGAGAGGTTTGCGTTTCTCAAACTCATTAATAATTCATCAAGTTTAAACAAAAGAAATCATGATGTCGTTTGGACATCTGATTATAATTAGCGTAGATTTTTCGATTTTATTTATAAGTTTTCTTCTTAGATTTAGGTTCGATTGAGAAAATATATCAAACACTCAAGACCGACTTTGACCACATTTCCAAACACCTCGGAGTTCGTCAAAAATACTCCTCTACGCGTCATATTTTCAACTCTCTTCTCGGTGTTTGGAAATGTGGTCAAACACACACAGTCGTTCATGTCTGAAATTGTCTCCGGTTTTACTTCGTAAAGCTGTCGAATAACACTCGAATTCGTAGCGAGTCAGAGTGTCTTTCCAGTCTTCTATTAAAATCGTTCAGGAAGATGGATTAAGGTTACTAGGTTTACAAGGTTTGAGACTTTATTGCAGCTCATTTTTGTGAACAGTGAATGCCAATCCTGTCGATGCACATCTAGATAAAACCTCAGATTGACTTTGAACTGAGTTGCTAGAGGAATGATTTATATGTAGTTATAAACATTCATCTTTAGTTATTAAAGCAGTTTGTTCAATAAAGATTTCACAAGTGACATTGAACGTTGTAAACTCCAGGTAGAACCTCGCCTTCATTTCGAGACGTGTTTATGCTGTACTGCGGGCTCAGCCCAGGGGCGACCGTGAGAGACTTGTGTACGAGATACAATCCTGGCAGTCTTCGCGTGGATGAGAGGTAGTGAAATAATGAAAGATTTCTACTGAAGAATAATCCATATCATATAAAATGCATGAAAACTTTGGAACTTTTGAATCTCCTAAGATGAGAAGTGTTAAAGTTGTAGTCGCCGTTTAAGTTACAAATATTTGAAATTTTCATGAAGACAAACCATTCTTTCTAGCCAAATTTCCATGTTTTTGAGAGATATATAGCACAGGTTTTCGGTTGTGTCCAAAGTACAGCTTTAAATCGGAACTGCGTAGGTTTTGCTGCACTGCGTTCTGTGATTGGTTTAGAAAAACTCGCGTCACTTGTTTAATAACCAATCAGATGCAAAAGCGACACCAATCACGAGTTGGTCACGTGCTTTTTCCCGCGCTTGGCGCCGGTCACGTATTTTTGCTTGGTGTCTTCGTTGATTCATTATGACTGTTGTTAATGTTTTCAATCCATAACTACGCAATGAACACGTTCTTCACGAGTTATTAATCTGTTGAACTCAAACACTGACAAATTTACTAAATAGTCGTTTTTCTTACCTCTTCTAGGCGATTAATCCAGTTTGGCATGGTAACAGGAATTATTCGTCGCCTTCATAAATACCCAGTACAGCTAACAACACCAAAGAGTGAGCCAGTACCCAGAGGTCACCACAAGTTGAGAGGAAGGCATCGAGACTCGGACACGAATAGAGTCAAACTCGACGACAAGTAAGTTAAACAATCTTTCCCTTGTTACAGTGTAATACAGTAGAAGAAAAATGTTTTTTNGAGGTGACACATTTCCGAGGTCTGACAAGAAAATCACATCGGAATTATTGTAGATTATCAAATAATGATTTCTCTTCGGATAGAATTATTTTATAATTCAACGCAATTAATGTAGGCCATAAATTCTCGTTTGCAATACGGTTGTTAGTGTTTTAACTTGCATTCAAGCTACTTGCTTACAATTTACCTCTTTTTATTAAGATTTCTGTTGCGGAAACAGTTTTTTTTTTTGATAAATACAGTGATGCAACCATAACCTTTTTAAAAGTATAAAAATAAAAGCATATGTTAAAATTCTGGGGATTCATGTCACATATGATTATCGCATCAAACAAAAGACGAACTTTGACGAATTGATGATATCTATTAAGGATAAGTTACGGATATGGGGGTGGAGAGACCTCACTATTATTGGCAGAATTCAAATTGTTAAGACATTCATTATTCCAATATTCTTTTATCGAGCAAGCATGATCTGCTTAGACAAAGAATTTGTGAACGAGGCCAATAAAATTATCTTTAACTTTATTTGGAAAGGAAGAGACAAAATCAAACAACTAGCGCTTATTAGTGATATCGAAGATGGCGGACTCAAAGCTCCACACCTAGACTCCATAATTAAGACCCAGAGAATACTTTGTTGCAAAACGACTCGCAGGTGAGCAACCCAGCTGTTGGAAAACTATACTTCTGCACTACCTAAAACCTGTTTGAGGTAAATTTATCCTATGTTGCGACTTTGATGTAAAAAACCTTGCCCATCAAGCTTCCAACGTTTTATGAGGAATGCCTTTAATACTTCGCAGAATGCTCTGTAGCAAACCAAGGCAGCGTACAAAACCCCACCAATGTGAATCTTTCAAAAATAGTCTTATGGAATAATAAAGCTATTTGTGTGGATGGTAAGTCTGTCTATAATAATAGGTTGGCAAATTTAGGCATTCTTAGAATAGGAGACCTGATTTCTGAAGACAATAAGCTTATAACTAACTATCCACGAGAATTGAATATCTCTCCGCTGAATGTATTCAGACTTCCTTGTGTAATTGAAGCTCTTCCAACTAAATGGCGCATACTTTTAAAAACGTGTAATCATTCTGTCATCGAGCCTTTCGACTTACAAAATCAGGTTCATTTTTATTTAAATGGTTATAATCTATTACTTAGCAAAGCCGTATCGAAGATCATCTATAAGGAAACTCGAAATAGAAACATTACTCCACCCACAGCTCAACTCAAATACACCACTCAATTCGTATCTGATGAATTAGATTGGAAAAAATATACAGCCTACCACATCGTGTTGCCTTGGACACAAATTCGCGCGAATTTCAATATAAACTTCTCAACAGATGTCTTGCCGCGAATGTCCTCCTTAGCAAAATTGGGATAATTCCATCTCCAGCTTGCACTTTTTGTGGAGAAGCAGACGAATCTCTTGAACATATTTTTGTAACTTGCCATTACACCAAGAAATTCTGGGNTCTTTAACTTTATTTGGAAAGGAAAAGACAAAATCAAACGCCTAGCGCTTATTAGTGATATCGAAGATGGTGGACTCAAAGCTCCACACCTAGACTCCGTAATTAAAACCCAGAGAATACTTTGTTGCAAACGACTCGCAAGTGAGCAACCCAGCAGTTGGAAAACTATACTTCTGCACTACCTAAAACCTGTTGGAGGTAAATTTATCCTATGTTGCGACTTTGATGTAAAAACCTTGCCCATCAAGCTTCCAACGTTTTATGAGGAATGCCTTTAATACTTGAATGCTCTGTAGCAAACCAAGGCAGCGTACAAAACCCCACCAATGTGGATCTTTGAAAAATAGTCATGGAATAATTAAAAAGAGCTATTTGTGTGGATGGTAAGTGTGTCTATAATAATAGGTTAGCAAATATAGGCATTCTTAGAATAGGAGACCTGATTTCTGAAGACAATAAGCTTATAACTAACCATATACGAGAATTGAATATTTCTCCGCTGAATGCATTCAGACTTCCTTGTGTAATTGAAGCTCTTCCAACTGAATGGCGCATATTTTTAAAAAACGTGTAATCATTCTGTCATCGAGCCTTTCGACTTACAAAATCAGGTTCAGTTATATTTAAATGGTCAAAATGTATCACTTAGCAAAGCCGTATCGAAGATCATTTATAAGGAAATTCGAAATACAAACATTACTCCACCCACGCTCAACTCAAATACAATACTCAATTCGTATCTGATGAATTAGATTGGAAAAAAATATACAGCCTACCACATCGTGTTGCCTTGGACACAAAATCGCGCGAATTTCAATGTAAACTTCTCAACAGATGTCTTGCCACAAATTTCCTCCTTAGCAAAATTGAGATAATTCTATCTCCAGCTTGTACTTTTTGTGGAGAAGCAGACGAATCTCTTGAACATATTTTTGTAACTTGCCATTACACCAAGAAATTCTGGGCAGAAGTTATAAAATGGATGGGCAACCTAGATA